ATTAAAGGTCGATCACCAGCGCCCTTGGATAGATCGGTGGCAGAACCTATGCGAAAATTCAATTTGTTTGGGATAAAAAAGCCGGTCCCTGTATATTATTATAGACCAGCATTTCTTGTAAATATGTAATCAGCACTTTGGGATAAAAAAGCAGCTTTTCATTATTTTCCTATTTTTATGTCTAGCAAGTTATTGTATGTTTTGAGCCAGAGCAGCCCTGCTCTGGCTAAATTCCTTTTGTAACAATTGTATACTAATTATAATTGTCACGGTTGCTTTAAAACGTAAGCGATATTTCGCCACCCCCCTTGATTTTCGGTTTATCCCATGTTGACATATTCATTTATTTCGTTAACGTAGATCACCCAACTGTAGCTACTTCTTTTGTTATTTTAATTTGACAAAGCGCCCTCTATTTTCATTTTGAATTTCGCGCGCTTTGAGCGTCATTCTGTTCTTGGATGAAGATAGCTCAGTAAGCATATTTTCTACTCTTCTCCAATTCACAGGTATGACCAATTTATTTTGTTTTCTCCTTTAAAAGTTTACTTGTAATACCGTTTGATAATACCATAGGTTTAGCTACATTTTCCTTTCAACAGTATTCTGTTATGCCTAATTATGCCCGCGAGTCCGCAACAATCGGACATAAACAAAATCTGACGGACGGGCCTGCCCCCCCCCCCTGCAAAAATTCATGGATCCGCCCCTGAGCCGATGCGTGAACGTCAGTCAGTGACCGTGTCACGAACACAGCCCTGTTTGACCTCAGTTTCTTGTCCCGAGGTCAAGCACGCATAGCCCAAAAGCGTACGCGAGATTTTACGAGATTTAATCGAGATATACAGAAAAACACGAAAAGTGCCTGGATACATGCACTGTTTGGCCAAGATGGTTAGATAAGTAAAAAGTTGAAATCGTGTGCTTTATTTTGATACCAAGAATAACTGCTTTTGACAATGTAAAGTGTTGTTACGGCCTGTCAAACAAAATCATATATTTTATCAACAACATCGAGGGACGATAGTTTTTGGGTCTACATTTGATTTTTTTTAAAAAGGCCGAAAGAAACGGCAAGGCTCAGTAGATAAAAGAAAGTAAAAGAAATCTCTCAAAAGTCTTCATTTTTCAAGCGGCGATTTAGACCAAACATTAGACGTCTCCTGTACGTGTTTCACATGAAAAAGAAGCGTATACGCTTCTTTTTCCTGTGAAACACTTTTGCGAGATTTCATGATTTGCAATCACATGTACTTGTGTACGTACGCCGACGTACGTTGGCCTGAAAACATTGTGAATAGCACGTGCTAACGCGGAGCAATGAATGACTTATGAATATTAAGCAGGCCATACTCGAGCTCGACCAATCAGTGGGCGTATGGGTCACAAGGTCACACCGTGTTTGGGTTCCTCGCTCTATGCTTTACAATGGCGACGATCTTTTCACGTTGTGAAAAATGGAAGTTGTTGGAAACATTAGGTGTACATCGAATTCTTAAAATATTAACGACATCACATTCACGAGATTTTTTGTAGATGAAGGTTCACTCTTTCGTTTGATTACCTCAACACTTGGGAGACTTTCGTTGTTCTAAAAAAAAACCACGGAAATTTCATGACCTAATTTGTTGGCGATTAATTTGTCCGTGAAATAATATCGTCAAAATGCATCGAAATCTTTTTTTTTTTGAAAAGAAATACCTTGTTGGATGTATGGAGTAGGTCTTTAACTACCCAAAACAACTTTGTTTGTTTGGATCGATTGTGGTTTGCCATGAAAAGTGCAAATTTTCTGAAGCCCTTTTTACGGCCATCGTTCGCTGGCCTCGCGTTGCTGTCAGTTGTGTGGACGAGAAAATACAGCAGCTACGCGTGACACGGCAACTGACTGTACGTCAGATTTTACAGTTTTAATTTGTTTTGTAGCAAGAGAAATTGTAAAATAAATTTTGCAATATTAAATTACGCATGTCAAAACGATTTTGAAATGTGTTTATAATTAATGACCTTTTTAGTCATGTGGTACTGAAACAGTGATAATACATGTAGTTTTTTCTGTCTTAAAGGGAATATACAACATTTGCAAACATCGACAAATAAAACTACCAAGTTTTTACGAAATACCTTACTAGGATGTTGGTAAATGACAATCTAAAGCATCCTGTAAAATTGTGGCACCTGGTGTGAAGTCATTTTCAAGAAAATGGTATTTTGTATACGTTTCCAGCGGTGGTCGGCCGACCACCGTTGGAAAAACCTAACTATTTTGCAACAACTGCTCCAAATTAACCATTTGTTATTCAGTTCAAATTTTGTTTGCTATTGGTTACATATTCATGAACGGGTGCAAGCCAGCTAGACTGGTTCCATTACCTTACAATTTTTCAGCATCTATAAATTGATCCAATTATCTTTAGTGGAGTCAGGGAACCAGACTACTTGAACGTTTTTGTTTTTCTTGGTTTTTCCAGCATTTTCGAACAAAAAACTTCAAACATGTCAGTGTAACAAAATTTGATCTATTATACTAACCCCTTAAATAGTTCATTTCTGAAAATTGCAGCAAACGCCAATGATGTACATTCCCTTTAATGCTTTCGTTTCATTGCCTGCAGCAAAATACATATGTATTCCATGACTCTCTACAAGTTTTTTGTTCGATGGTAAATCATGTTAAATAAAGCTTTACTTTGATGTATATCGTGAACATTGTGGAGATTGTGAAAGTATTTGTTCTAACTTTTCAAGGTTGCGGATTTTCGGTATTACAGTGAATGTATACATTTACTGGTTTGCAGGCTATTTTTTTTCTTCTGCAGCAGGGTTTGTCAATCCCTTCAAATTTTAACCAATCGCACCATTGTTCAAGTATGTATTTCAAACTTAAGCTTTCATGATTCTCCGCACTTCCACATTCTGGAGAACCGGCGGAAATACAGATAAAAAAACCCTCTTCCTTGCTGTCGGTAATTATTGTAGAACAGTGGTGTAGCATGGTCATTTTTAATCAGGGGGGGGGGGAGTAAAAAGTTCGTGAAAAGGGCACTCGGCACACATCCTATAGCTGAAATGTAGACATGACTGTTTCTCCAGTCACTTGGCCTCCATAAAATCAAGGGGGGGGGGGCTGGTACCATCTTCCTATGGGGGCGGGGCGCTGTTCTAACCGGACAAGAATGGACACTTTCGGACAATAGACGGTGCTTTTCAGGCCGACGGTCGCGGTTCGGCAGATGCTGCAAAAACCAAGAAAAACTTACTTGGTACTTGGTTGGTTTCCTCCTGAAACATCCTCTAGGGATCATGACTAGGAGGTCACGGGGAGGTGTCGGCACCTAGGTCCCGGTCATAATGTGGTTGTAGTAGTTGTCCCTAAAGGTCTTGTGCGTCAAAGAGTCAGTGATGATGTGCGTCAAAGAGTCAGTGAAAAACAATTATGTTCCTGTTGTCTGGTTCCCTGATCCCATTTTACGATGATGAAACGGTATTGCCTGGTTTCCATATCGATGTTAAAAGGGAACATACAACATTTGCTTTTGCTGTAATTTTCAGGAATAAAAACGTCTTTTATAGGCGTCAACGAATCACAAATATTTCCTAAATTATCCTGCAAAATCAAAGCCGGTGGGGTTTTCAATGAAGCTTGATCGTTATTGGTACAAAAAGTATTGCTGTGTTAACTCATAATTACTGGATAAAATGTTTTGATGATTTCAGCGCTGAAATTATAGACTTCAGTGCTTCAAGTTAACCACTGATTGTTTTGATGGAGAGGGGTTGTAAAGAGTCTTCAATCAGAGTTTTTCACTTTAATTAATTTGTGGGCACGTGTGGCCTAGTGGTAGAGCACAGGCCCCATTTTCGTGGGATTGTGGGTTCGCGAGCCCCGCCGCCATATTAGCCATGCATGCTGTACGTGCCGTTGAGTAAGGCGCTTTACCTCAATTACTCCTCTCAACCCAGTTGCTAAATGGGTACCAGCAATTATTCAATGCTGGGAAGGTAACAGACTCGCCGTGAGTGGAGGAGGTGTGGCGACCCCTCCCTCCCCCCTCCCGCAGCAGCATTACATTGAGTCTGGCCCAATCGCTTCGAAAGAGAGATGGGCACTCCGTTCCTGTGAACACGGGTTCGTCCCCTTTACCTTTTTGTAAACTTTCATTTAACCAATTCGTCTGAAAGTGTAGTTTTGGACACCTCTATTAATTTTATTCTTAGGAATAACAGTCGATTTTCACAATTATATTTGCAGCCACAAGCCTAGCAATCTTACTGTTGGCTTTTATCAATTTCATCATTACATTACATTTGGGAAATCGGTAGGCCTATATTGGAAGTACCATTTTGAGCAGTTTAGCAAAGCACGCTACACAGTCTTTCATTCCCTTGCATGAAACTACACTGCAGCAGAAGCGTTGTTTATTCTCACAGTAGGCCTAAAACAGCTCAAGATTTTGTGAACTGCTTAAATAATACATTTGAAAATTTTAATAGCCTAGCTGAACTTTTTAAAGCAAGAAACTTGAAGAAAGGCTAGTCAGAATTTAACAGTTTAATATGTGTCAGTTCGAGATTTTGTCACGGTGTACTGCTTAAAAATACATCTGAACGGTTGCTCAGAATTTAACAGTTATGTGTCAGTTCAGCTTGTCTCTTCAGTTTCATGTGCACGTAGCCTAGCCCAGAGGAATTTGAAAAATATGGGGGTGTGACGCAGTGTTCTTGCGAATAATGTCTTAAAGGGAAGATATTTTGCAAACACCAAAAAACGAATTGATCAAATTATCCGAAATACCTCACGTACTGAATTGTTAGGGACTGACAGTCTAAAGCATCCTTTAAAATCGTGGCTCCTTTCAAGAAAAAATGCATTTTTCCAACGCTGGTCGGCCGACTGTTCCTAATTTTTCATATTTATTTATTTTGACTTTTTCTTTGCAATTGATTACACCTGTTGTTTTGGGATGGATTTCGCATATGCGACATTCAACAGAGGGCGCTATATACCCGGAAGTTTAGGGAACGCGAAAACCGCGTTTATTAGAAGTTTTAGAACTTAGTTAGAAGAAATCAGTTTGTCGAGATTTAGACCCTGGATCTAATCCCAAACTAGCGGTAAGGAGATTCCTTGGCCGAATGCTTTGTATACTGGACATTTTGTAGTGTGTTGTAGATTTAGAAGGGAAATTTGGGAGGTAAAATAGGCGATGTTTACGTTTGTCTAGCCTTGTCTAGTCCGAGTACTACAGTCAATTGACCGGTTCCGCAATTTGACCGGTTCCGCAATTTCGGAAAACTAGCTATCGTTTTCAGGAAGACGAAAACGCCAAGGACTTAAACTTTGGTACCGATGGAAAGGTTATTCAATCTACTTTTCAAAAATGGTTTTAGTTTTAGGATACTCACTTACATTTGAAAATAAATCCCCTACCAGGCTACGACCGTCACTTGCCGTTAACGAACTGCCAAAATGGAACGCGCACGGAAGCGTGATTTCATGTTTGTCGGCCTGCTACACGATTGTTCAGGGGAATTAAATCATGGCCATAGATGCAACTTGTTTGGAAATTATTCATTATTCCACCATACAAATATAAGATTTGAAGTCTTTGATTTTTTTTTTCTATACCCACCAGAGTAACTGCTGGTCGTTTGGCCGGTTCCGCAAACGCATTCATACTGCCTATACAATACACTGGCCATGGTGTGACTGTATTAACCAGTGCTGCTATTGATGACAAGTATTTTTAACATTTGGACATGGTCGGGCGATAGGAGATCTAAAACTAAACATGCTAAAAGAGATTTCTACGTGTACATAGTGTTACCGCAAACCTTCACTAGTTTAGAAGGATTTGATTTGAAACATATTTAAAAGTTAGCTTATTACAGCAAACCTTCACTAGCTTAGGAGAATTTGATTTAAAACAAGATTAAAAGTTAGCTTGTAATGAAATATCCAGCTCTAGTCTCATGACATGGGAGAAAAAAAGAAAAAAAAAACTTCTCTAAAAAAATCCTGGATTTGTCATCCTGGTACCTTTGACATTTGGATAGATCGGAAGTATGCTGTGAAGTAGACCAGTTAACGTGGGGTCAATAACAACGCCACTCTCCAGAGTCGCGTAAAAACACTTGAAATAGCCTACATGCGCACGGGATCATACGGTCGGGTACCCGGACGGCTCCTACTATTTCGCGCGCACATGACTCAGAGTACCAGCGTATCGTGCGTGATCTCAGCAAATCAAAAGTTGTGTTGTACGTTTGTCACGTGTCGCGTAAACATTTTGAGTGTTTTATGCGACTCTTGAAAGTTGCGTTGTTATTGACGCCACGTTTATGGGTCAAGCTGTGAAGATATGCTGCGCAGTGCATCTTGGGACAGTTTGCACGACGATTCTGTGCAGCGCAAAATGTCTGACAATGCATCATGTAGCATATTCCGGCTATTTGTAATAACCTTAAGGTCTATGGTAGTCCAACTTTTACCCAATTGATCTTTCAAAGCACTCTGGTTGGAATTTCATGTATACATGTACATGTAAGTCACATACATGTACCTTTGCAAATTTCTTTTGTTTTTACAATACCATACTTATAGCCATTGAAAATATGCTACGACTGCCATAATAATGATAGCCACTACGTTTTTTTTCTGGTTATAGTTTTGATGGAAAGATTTCCATATACAAAGTTCACTCAACACCCTGTGTACAAACCCTATGAGATTGGACTGAAAAATTCTAAGTGTTTTCTAAGAAAATGCTTGTATTTTCTCACTGCTCAAATTGACTTTGATGACATGAAATTGCTATTTGGGGGCTTGTTAGTCAATACAGAGGACAATTAGTGAACTTCGTATATGGAAATCTTTCCGTTTTGATTAATGCAGCTGCAACATGGACGGCAACCAAGTGCCTGATCTAAGTGAAGCCTCAAGTATGGAAATCACTGAAGGTAATTACGGGGATGGTAGTGATGAATATACGGACGAGCAAAACGAGCAACATGCATGGTACCAACAGCCACAGTTTGGCAGGTAGGCCTATCTATTTTTTTACAGTGTTCAGATCAGTAGCTAGGTCAAGGCGTTCGTCGATAGTGTCCGTGATGTATCTGGCCGATAAGGGGAAGTAAAAAAAAAAACATGCCTCTCGTCCCTGCCCGCTTCCCTTTTGGAGGCCACCTGGATTTTTTTATTATTTTGTATTTTTGAAAAATGCAGTAAAAAATACCGAAAAAGTCCACAAATTCATCGGAAAATAAATACCAATACCAATACCAATACAACTCTAAATGACACTTAAAATATGTTCAGTTCTCTTGTCCAACTTGTCTTTCATTTTAAAAGTGTCTTTGAACAGTGGAACACCAACGGTTGCAGGAAATTTTAAAATGGCGGCCATCTTGAAAAAAAATTAAAAATAGAAAATAAAAAGCCCCGCTTCCTCCTTTTTTTTCAAAAATCCCGGACGAGAATTCTTTTTTTGTTATTCGGCCTAACACAAGCTGCGTGCTATGCACCGACCTCACTGGCTACATTATGCAATCAGTTGGTTCGTCTTTCACCAACTGATCTGCATATTGTAGCCACGCGAGGTTGCTGTGCACGCTTCGTACAGTGCATAGCAAGGGGCTAGTGTTTATGTTAGCCGCTAGATACCATCACGGACACTATCGACGAACACCTTAGCCAAGGCTCGTCAGTGGCCTTTTTTTGTAATCAGAAGTGAAGCGAGGGTTGGGAATCAGAGGGTCGAAAAAGAATGTCTCCCCAGCCACAAAAAAGAGGCAAAAGTAGGAAAAAAAGAAAAGAAAAATAGTAAGAGCAGTCCAGTTTGATTCAAATTCAGTGTATGTGTAACTGTATGCATCGTGAACAACTGCGTCAAAGTGACTTCAAAATGCAGATATATTTATATAGGCCTACATGGTGGTCCACCAAAAACAGATCTGCACACTTCCACTGCCCTGAGGCTCAAACCACCTGTACCAATAGATGGAGAATCCTTTTAGAAGAATTATGATACCAAGATCTCCTGATTCGGTCCAGTAGTTTTTGCTACAGAGCCTATTTTGTGAAGCACACTTCTTTCATACATGTGGGTATAGACCATTATCATGTTGCAGCCATTTGATTTTTTTTCCCATTCAGATTAATGTAACCAAAACGAGGCTGGAGGGAAAAATAGTCTAAATTTTGCACTAAAACATTATCATTCAGTACTGTTATTAGATACAGGGAACATGACTAAAATGGTGGAAGCGTGATATAGGTCTATTATTACATAGCAATCCCTCTATCAATTTGGGCGTTTCACAATGCAGTTCGCCACCAAGAGTTTGCCACGGAGAGCTAATTTTTCCCGGTACATCGTGGGAAATGGTCGACAAATTCGCAGCACGGGACATTGGAAATTGTTAGTTTTTTCTAGTCATTAGTTTTGTAAGCATGATTCGAGTATCTGTTTGCCCTTTTCTTTGCCTTTTATCAATACAGAGTTTTTTTGTAAGGCGGCTGAACGCTATGCCCCAATCTATAACAAAAATTAGCTCGTTGTCTACTGACACTCGTTCAAATGGGCCATGTTTTGTCGACCGTAAACTTGAATAATGGACTCTCCACGGCAAACTCTTGGTGGCGCACTGCATTGTGAAACACCCGAATTACAATGCAAGTCAAATTCCCAGGCGCGGTTTAGTAATTCACGGGGACAAAAAAGACCCCCACCTTGCTTCACAAAATAGGCTCTAGAACAAAACTACTGGACCGAATCGGGCGATCTTGGTTTAATTTTTCTTCTAAAAAGATTCTCCATGCATTGGTATGTATGCGGTTTGAGTTTCAGGGTAGTGGAAGTATGCCATTCTGGGTTTTTTTTTTACCACCCTATATTGGCATAATACAAATGTGAACATAAAAGTTTGTATTAAAATCAGTGCCACCTAGTATACATTATCATTTGACAATAAAGGTAAGCGGCATTGCGTAAAAAATTGAGGTCGCATAAAAGACAGTTTAGGGGATTGGATAATATTTTTTTTCAAGTTTCCTATAAGTGTCCAAACACTTAATTTCAAATTTGAATCATGCTATTTGATTCCCCAGATTTTGGCAACACTACGCAGCTATGCAGTCATGGATGCAGACCTACGCCAGGATGCACCAAAATGGTTGCAGCCGGTACCCCGCCACGGGTTACCCACTGCCCATGTATTGCGGCAGTTATCCGCACTTCCCACCCAATCCCTATCACAGTCAACATTTCCCGCAAAGGACTTCCATGTTCCACCCCCACTGGAACGTGAACAGCCAGAGAGCAGCTCATCAGTATGCAGGCCCCTCCCCCTATTACCATGACAGTGCATCACAACAGAGAACTCATCATCGTGACAAGTGGGGGAGGGACCGTGAATATTTAAATGAGGAAATCGAGGACAGTGATGATGATGACGAGGACAGTGAGGAGATTGAAATCAGCCAGGAGATGCTGGAGTTTTTCCGGACGTCCCAGAAATTCCGAGAGGAGAGAGATCGAGCCAAAGCAGAGGCGGAGAAGAAGTCCAGTGGAGGCAAAAAGAAGAAAAACAATCCCGTCAGGACGGAAGAGAAAAGCGACTGCCGGGCACCGGTAGAAAGACCAGACGAAGGCAGACGAAAAGGCATGAAGGTATAATCAATGAGATTACTACTCAAATTACAGCAGCAGATTTTTTAAGCCTGCCTGGCTTGTTAAGTCTTTCTCATTTTTAGTCTGTCTGGCTGTCCGGGCTGAGACTTGCTTCACTGTAACTCTGCTCAGTACTGAATCCAGCGATAAACTGTTGTAAGAACGAAGACCTCTTGTACTGCCAGTTTGAATTCTGTTGAAATCAGCAGGATACATGTAGGCACTAGCTACACACCTGTAACACTTACTAACATGTACATGTATATGGCCTACTTTCCCGGCCAAAATGGTTGGGACACTTGGAAATTACCTTAGCCTGCCGCGGTCACCCACTCCCCCGCTTCCCCCGGTCAATGTTGTTCTCTCCAGCTGACGGAGCACACGCCGCGCAATGAGAGACAACATTGACAGGGGGCCGGGGGGGTTGGGGGCCCAGCGAGATTTGGCCAGGATTGTAGGTTGCACTGTTGCAGCAGAGTTGTAACGAGTCACTGAATTTTGTGACTCAAGTCGAGTCAAGTTAGGTCAAGAAGGTCAAGTCGAGTCAAGTCGAGTCACAGTGTGTAGTCATGTTGAGTCACAGTGTGTAGTCGAGTCGAGTCGAGTCCAATATTTAGCTCTAGTCAATTTGAGTCACAAATATTTTAACACTACAGGTATATAACAAATAAAGACACAAGATAAAGTCGTATGTTAACAAGAAGCTTTGGCTTCGGGTCTTTTCGCTAATCGCTGACAACATCAAAACTAAATTGCATAAATACCAAACTGTTTCTGATTATATTATTTAAAATCGGGCATGTATCTTTTTAATGTTTAAAAGGAGGGCATAAATTTATCTGGCGTTCAAATCCAAGAGATTGGAAAATGTGTTTAAAGTCCGGTTCCGGGATAGTATTTTGTGGATTCCAGAACCACAATGTGGGAGTCTGAATGTACACGACAAGCGACCGCTGTGCCGCACTGTATTTGCAAAGTGACGTGAACACAAATTTTGCACCGTAAGTCATCGCAAATATGTTTCACAAAGTTTTGCTTTTTTGGACCCGAGTCTTATCAGCCTTCGCTCGAGTCGAGTCTTCTGATGAGGGACTCGAGTCGAGTCAATTCATTTGCTCGCAGTGACTCGAGTCGAGTTGGGCTGTTTACCCTTAGGGACTCAAGTCGAGTCGAGTCACCAAAAATTGTGACTCCAGTCGGACTGGAGTCGAGTCATTGATTCGAGTCATTACAACTCTGGGTTGCAGATGTATTTTATGAATGAATGAATGCAACATGAAAATAAGTGTCTCTAACCTTGAACCACAAAGTGCTTAGGAACGATCTCATTAAACGACTGAGAGAGAAAAGAAACTGTTATTTTTTTTGAATTCATTCCATTTTTACATGTCTCTCATTTTTTGTCCCCTGCAGGTTCTCTACGGAAAGCACACGGCCAGAATTCACAGCATGGAGACAGCGATGCAGATGCAGTTTGATCGCAACTGTGACCGTCTGCAGCCAGCTTTCTGGCCCATTGTGGCCCTCAAAATGTGAAACTACTACCAGATGTAGTATCGCCTTTATGAACTCCACGCAGAAACAGTAGAGGGCGGTGTTTGGCGAGAGCCAGTGTGTGAAGGACACAATGTATATGTGCACGCCATGGTTTTGCTATACTATGAAGAACTCGTACTATTGTGTTCCTGGGCAATCCCATAAATTCGGACTTACATCAGACACTTTATCCCACCTGCTGTTTAAACAGTCACAGACAGTCAAAATGGCCATCCACTTCCCCTGCTATACTTTTAACAAAGGCTAGTCACCAGCAGTCGGATCATATGTCCAGCAAGAGCTGTGACAAGTCAATCTTGGTCAACAGACCATGAACAGACAAAGCAGGCAAGTTGTGGGCACAGCTGGCTTATCAATTACCAACAGTCAAAGCAAAGCTGTATCAAGTTACATTTAGTCCCAGCCAGTCAATCCTGCTTTATGTAGGCTGGGAGCTCTGAACTGTTGAAAACAGTCACTTGATTGATTTTGACTGAGAGGACAACTTGGCACAGAATGTATGTGTAAATAGGAGGGTTGAATTGACACTAACTTCCTAGGGTGATTTACAAGGAACCTTCTTCATCCTTGCAAATCCCAACACCATATGGTAAACTGTGCACATAAACAGTTGGACTCTGTTTATTTGTGGTATGCCTAATCCCATGGCTGGTTGGGGATCGTTAGGGTAGCTGCTGTTGGAAAAGTGAATGTGATACATCACTAATAATTTGACATCTAATGAGTAGAAAGCAATAACAGACCAAAACTAAGGTATCACCACTTTAACGACCTTGTACATCATGTGGTCGGACCTACGCCGACCTAATTGCCCTGCTTTAATTTGGACTTAAAGTTTTCTTGACATGTCCGCTAGGATTTGTACATGAAAACTACTGAGGACTTGGCATCAGGTCTTCAGGTTATTGTTGTCTTCGAGAGGACATTGTTCAAAGTCTTAAGTCTGAAAGGATAACCTTTGTACACAGATGGTGGAGGTGTGGGGCAGCGTAGGCATGACCAAGTTTCTTCAGTGAATGTGGACAAAACTGTGGTGTCGAGCGCTCAACTGTCAATAAAACAAACTCTCTGTTTTGCAAAATTTGGGGGAGGAGGGTGCTTTTGCACATCCATGTAATCAATGCTATTCAATCAAAATGGTCTCCTATGTATGTGTTTCTCAGTTTGCCAAAGCATAGGCTGTCACTACCAGAGCATGCCTGCTTACCCCCCCCCCCCCCCCAAGCTAAATCCCCCCTTATAGCCAAAGCTGAATCCGCCTCTGATAAACACCCCCCCCCCCCAAAAAAAAAAAAAAAACTTGAGACACAAAACAGAAAAATCAGGGGAAAAAACAACACATGCTTGCTTACCCCCCCCCCTCCCCCCTCCCCCACCCCCGACAGCTAACACCTCCGACACCCCCCCCCCCCCTTTCTTTAGCTTGAAGCTACACCTCGATCCGGGTGTACGAAGTTTACCGGTAATTGAATTTTTGTGTCACAGAAGATTGTCACACACAAAACCTAATAGTCGAAAACCAATTAATAAAGGTATTTATTGCATGTGGGTTTTGGAATATTTTCAAATTGACTCTTAAAAGTCAGATAACCAACTTACCATACAAACTTTATTTCAGTCAATTAGATGCATTGGTACAAACACTTACTTCATCGAACTCAAGGGTTGAAAATCGTCTTGGACCACTTTTTTTGAAAGTGAAAAAAAAAAGCACAGTTAGAAAAACACACAAAGGATTTATTTCCCTTGTTCAAGAATAATGTGTGACTTAATATACCGGCTTCGATCTGTAAACTTGATATATAAAAAAAAAGGGCCCAAGTGGTTTTTCAAGTCCTGTATTGCGATTACTGTATCTTTTGAACAAAACATCCTAATGAAACCAACTAAAAAGCATATGGAAGACCAATTATTCTACTCAGCAATACATTAGACCCAATTTTGAATACTACCCCCACTTTTCTGAAAACATGCCCGATGCGACTGTTAGGGTTTTTTTTGTGGGACAACCTGTTTAACACTTGCTAAGGCCACCCAAAAAAGTCTCCGGTTTCTGGTATGCGTGCGCGTCGCCGTAGCCATGCGCGTCGGCAAAATGAAAAAAAAAAATTTCAATGAAAGATGATGTCTCAAAACCGCCAAACTCACTGGTTTGACTGGAATCCTGCTGCTGCACAATTTTAACGTGTTTTTAGATTGGGTTATGGTCGAGAATAAGCTTTATGTGGCCTCTCTGGACTCCCATATATTTGCACTAAGTTTAGTGGGGCACCATTTGCAGTCATCAACACACATTTGAAGCAAAAAAATCAGGCCAAAAAAAAAAAAAGCTGCGTCGCCGCACCACTTTTTGGGCAAGCTCCATACCAGAAACCGGAGACTTTTTTGGGGGGCCTAAAGCAGCTCCATTTAAAATGGCACTTGATTTCAGTTTTGAGATAATATTGCCTGGAAACCCTTCAACTGTATCATTTTCTTTGACTTTGATCTCGCCCAATTTCAGTTGTTAATTGAATCAAATCAGTTGTCGGATTTGAGTCAATTGTTAATTAGTATCTTTCAGCCTCATGTTTTGTATTTGTTGTTAAGCTGCTTTGTTTCTACCATTTTGAAATGTCACGAATAAAGGTTGTTTCCATATGAATCGAGCCAGAATTTTCATCTTGTTTTTGTCATTTACATGTAGCAAGTGTCTGATGATTTTTTTTCTGGAGCTTTTACTGTGGGGTCATTAAAGGGAATGTACATCATTGGCTTTTCCTGTAATTTTCAGAAATGAACTCTTTGAGGGGTTAGTATAATAGATAAAATATTGTTACACTGACATGTTTGAAGTTTTGTGTTCGAAAATGCTGGAAAAACCAAGAAAAAACAAAAATGTTCAAGTAGTCTGGTTCCCTGACTCCACTAAAGGTAAAATGGATCCATTTATAGATGCCGAAAAATTGTAAGGTAAGGGAACCAGTTTAGCTGACCTGCACCCGTTCATGAACATGTAACCAATAAACAAACAAAATTTGGACTGAAGAAATGGTAAATTTTGAGCAGTAGTTGCTAAATAGTTAGGTTTTTCCAACGGTGGTCGGCCGACCACCGTTAGAAATGTACACAAAAATACAATTTTCTTGAAAATGACTTCACACCACCAGGTGCCATAATTTTACAGGATGCTTTAGACTGTCATTTACCAACATCCTAGCAAGGTATTTCGTAAAAACTTGGTAGTTTTATTTTTCGATGTCTGCAAATGTTGTATATTCCCTTTAAATTATGTGGGATATCTTATTCCTTTTCATTAATAACAATGTGTGGTAAAAAACATTTTTGTTAGATTTGATTTTCAAAAAATGGGTGAAGGTTTGAAATGAAGATAATTTAAATGCAACTTTGTCCTCTGCTCCCTGTTGCTCCGTATTCCCCCCCCCCAAAAAAAAAAGTCAAAGAAATGTTGGCTACTAACTACCGTGTTTTAATCCGTCAACTGTTACGCCAAAGCCACATCCTTATGTAAAAGGTTCTAGGTTTAATCTGAAAAAAGTATCTGAAGATGAAGAAAAAAAGGTTTTATTAGTAATAAAGGACCCGCCCACTACGGAGATTTTGCCCATCAACAGAGGTCGCCCTTTGCGGTGACCGTGGATTTTTCTGTTGCTTTCAAACGTCTGACGTGATTGGTGAATTGTGAAGGTCATGACCTCACATCCGACACGGCAAAATACGAAGTGAAGGAAGGGAGGAAAATGGGTCCCTCCCTCGACCGTCAAACTTTGGCAGATTTTTTACGCTTTTAGGCCGATGACTTGTAACGAATCTGCGAACAATTGATGGAGATCATATGAGAGATTATTTTATTTGAACGTTTCGGCTACATTAACCATTTAAAATGGATAGAAAGGACATGTCAAAACGCTCCAGTTTTGTAAGTATTTCTGTTTCCGAATCCGGACATCAATTTGTATAGAAACCGCAATCTCGTCTCGCGAACAACTTTTCCTTATCATCTCAGCTCTGTGACACTGCCACACTCACAGCTTGTGGTCCAAATATATGCAAAATAATCCTTCACACCGTGTGTTTCCTTAGTCTACTAATAATGTCCAACATGCCTGCCTGGCACACAATCTCAAGGAAAATGTGTTTTGAATTTTTGCCATGTCAATTTTTGGCTTGAAAGTTGAAGTTGAACATTTCATTTTGCCAACTTTTGTTTCCTACTTGGCCGATGGCCTGGCCTGCGCTGCCAGGGATTTAGCAGTGTAAATACTAGGCATGCTAGGCTAGCCCCATAAATGTGGCCAATTTAGTGGACTACCTTCAAGGCCATACTTGGAACATGTACCCGAAAATGTAGAACTGAATGAATTCACATCTAGACTTTATTTGTAGTTTATTTACGCTTAAGAAGCACTCTCACCCTCTTTAAAGCGATGGAAAAGAAGTCCTGCCTTTCTCAGACAGCTTTCTCAGACGTCTATTCATGTCATTTCCAGGTTCGTTTGCACAGGTTTGCGTATCTAAATTCCAACAACAAGGCAACATCGAAAAGATCACGCACGTGTTGATGGATCGTTTCTGCTGTCAGTCACGTAGATTTTTAGAGTCAAGGCGCATGTGACAACCTGGACACACACAAAAAACCATGCAAGTGGCGGAGCTCATCGGCTCCGTGTGTAGCCACTCATGTGTTCTTATTTCGTGTCCAGGTTGCCACGTTCGCCTTGACTCAAGTCCACGTGACTGACAGGAGACAGCTCTTTTGAGTGACTGACAGTTTCACCTGTTCACTAACTTTAAACTAATGTTTAAAAAAAAAAAATAGTTTTCATTTTTTAATTGTTTTCCTTGAATTGGTCGATGCGTGCAATTGGTCGAATGTGCCTAGCTATCTGTCGATCATGACGCTTTCGGTCAATCGCGCTGGCACCAGTTGAACACCTTTTCTTTCACATTCGCAGCTCTGGAGGATTTTTTTTTAAAAAGGTAAGTAAAGTCCAAGATAGCTGTCATGATGGACTGATTTTTTTCATAGCGCAGTGCAATTGACCGATCATGCACATCGACCAATCACGCCCAACATATTAACAAGTTGCTGATTTATGGAGTTTTGATCAAGACAGTTGCTTTACAAAATAAGGCCTATAGGACTAGTCAGTAGCAAATATATAGGCCCCATAGAATACTTTAATGGGCCCTGCGCAATACATCATACATAGGCATTAGTTATTTTTAGGACCCCTCTATTTTTTTGCTGTTGTGTATTTTCACAGAAGTTGACGATTGCGCCAAATGCTGAAAATGGCCGAACCGATCCACAAAGGGATACTGTATCCGTTATTTCGTGGATCGGTTCGGCCTTTTTCTACACAGAAAGAAGATTTTATTTTCAGCGCGTGCCAGCATATTGATGTCAATGTTGTGCTCACTGAAAAAAAAATCTCCAATCATTGTTGAGTGCAGAAAAACATGCAAAACAAAATCAGGCCATCTTTACTCACTCTTTAGCAGACAAAATTCTCTAAAATTTTCATGATGTAAAGACAAGGTCCTCAGTATTTCCCCAGCCCAGTTTGAGGTCTCGCTGCGCAAAGAGTGTGCCAGTTAAAATTGGCGTGCAGTGATCGATATGGGACACTGGATTGTTTTATAATCGTGAAAGGGCTTTAACCTGCTGAAAGGATGTGAACAATGAACCGCCTTCGACAAAAAAGTTACAGTCGACAAAAAAGTGGCAACTGACAAATAGGCCCACATGTAAAGCTTTGCAACTTTACGATGAAAAATAACATCACAGTTGTGTGTATCATACATGAGGGTATTTTTTTTTCTGGAATATTCAAACTGGCAAAAAGCTATTTGAATAGGCCTATTCGGTATAAATTCGGGACAGCTGTACTGTACAGCCATGCACACGTAACAGTTTCCAAAGGGCGTGTACCAACTGTGTATATTATGCGCACACCAATGTGCTATTTAATTTACATTAAAAACAGGAAATACTTCAAATGTAATAATACAAACATTTGAAATCAATACTATATTTTCATTCCTGGCCTTGTACATGTACAATGTACAACATGTATACATGTATTTGTGTTACTGGTTGTAGAGACATTTTTTCAGTGTACAAAGTTATTAAACCAGGTTACAAAAATCCAGTGCAGGCCGATTGAAACTACAAGTATATTGTGTGCATTTCCATGGTCTCTGTGGCTCTGATCTTGGTATTGCTGTCTCTTTGAAGTTCTGGTCCACCTATGGACCTTTCAGAGGGAGTTTTCACTGCGAGTTCCCTGGTCATGCTGGTCAATTTAAAAATAAAGCCTTGCCCTTTACAAAATAAATAACCACACCCAGTAAAATGGGACTACATGTTGTACATAATGTGTACATGTTAGATTTTATTTTGTTCTACATAAGTGGAGATGTCTGGACAGTGTTTGCTTTTCTTTTTGAGGGCCCACTGTTGAAACCACATGGTCTTGCCAACGACCGCATGTGCCAATCAGGAATCTTGACCCAATTTAGATTAATTTTTAACGGAAGTTGACAAACAATCGGCAGTTGCCCTCCAGGGATTTGCGGTAGATAAAAGACTTAACGGGCTAGACACCCTGGCTGCATCGGCATGTATCCGCGCAGTACCTATATGTAGAACGCACCTGCAGTTCAGCATTAGTCACAGCGCAGTGTGTGAGTTTTCCATGCACTTGTTGTAGTCACTCATTTTACGTAAGCATGGTCAGATGATGGAGTTCGTGGATTTCATGGTAAGATACATGTAGAATAGTTTACACTTAATCTGTGAGTGCATGGTTTTTGTACCAGTTGTTATAGCAAGTGTTTGATTGTTGGGTGTGGCAGGCAAGTGTTGACCGGTATGTGTACACATTGTTTTTGTGAGTGTACGGTATTTAGTCATATCGGTACAGGTGCATATTTCTGAGAGATCTAACACTGTGGTGAAAACCAATGGCAGTATACTAAAACTATCCATGGCTACTTGTATTGATCCAAATACTGCAAGCCTGATTTTAAGTACATGTAGTAGTAGAGAAGCGCAACAGTCCGTAATCTTCTGAGACACTGTGGAGGATTTTGAAGGATTTGGGAGGGTATGGGTTAAAGGTTTTACTTGAATTAAAGGTCATACCGGTACTAAACATCCCGTGAAATTCGTCTGGCTTGCTGTCATTTAGAAGAAATCAAGAATTTTTTTTGTAAATTTAAGAGTGCTATTGACAAAAAGTGTGTTTCGTGATCAAAAGGTCGTTCATTGTTTTTCACTGTTTCTCAAAAAGTACATGTATATCCCTGAGGTGAAACATCAACAGGTTAGGTTTTCAACTTTCTTCTTTTGATTTAGAGTTTTGTTATTAAATTTTGGGAGACAAACAAAATGCATGAGAAGCAAATGATCCCATTTGCCTTTAATGATTTGTGAGTTGCTTAATTTCACACACACAAACACACTTGTCGTTTTTTGCTATGCTTCCCGAGGATTGGCTTTGTGTTTTCCTTTGTTCCCTGATCTAAACCTTTCCCATAGACTTAGCGTACAAACCTGCATTCGAGGACAGTAGGCACCGTCGTTCGAGGATGAAAGGCCCCTTTGTGCTCCTTTTGTTGTCTGTCCTCGAGCGTAATACAATACAGGAACACATCCACAGTCGTGATTTACTATCCTCATGAGGACCCACCCCTTTCCTTCTTTTGTTCCCTTTTGTTTGTACTCTAACTTTTTCTTGACAGCTCCAATAAGGTTTGTACACGAAATTCTCCCGAGGACTAGTGCCCAGGTCCGCTGGCCCATTGAAATCGCACACACCCCATTGTCCCAAGTCTGAATGGATAACCAACCCACACTCGTCTTTGTAAACTCCGGCAATCGTGGACCCCCTATTGTCCCTAATCCTCATTTCTTTGTTTGTACTCTAACTTTTTAGCAACAGCTCTCATTGGTTTTGTACACGAATTTTAATCGTGGACCCATTGTTTGTGCCCTAACCCTTTTGTCCCTAGTCCACGATTGCCGGTGTTTACATACTCACACACACACCATCATGGACTCAAAGGGAAGTGACATAAAAGATAGATCAGACACTTAAATGCTCCCCCCCCCCTTTAGTTCACCATCAACCCGAGGATACAATTGGTTTGTGCACATTTAGATAAGTCCGTAGTGTGTAGTGCTTCAAGGTACAAGTTGTCCCACACATGGTGTGTCCCACCCTACAGCTTTCTATAGTGGTCACAAGGCACAATCTGTTTACCACACGAAGTTCGTAGACTTCCAACTCCATTGACTTCTCACCGCCTCACTCAGTGTCTTCTCTCTCCATCTTCTTAAATCCCGCAGTTTGGAGGCAAACGCATCTTGACCAAGCCCTCCAAGAAGGCGGAGTCGGGCAACAAGAGGGACCAGCGGCTGCAGTCCCGCCCCTCGGTGGAGGAGGAGGAGGCCCATCAGGAGTATGAACGCATCCAGCAGAGACTCACCGACCAGGAGGTGGATGCTGCCCTGGAGAAGATGCTGGTAAGAAACATTCGGGCTGCTGGGCCCAATTTGATGAAGCTTCTGAAGCAGAAAAATATTGCTTAGCAGATTTATGTGCTGAGCCTGAATCAGCAGAGCACCAGTCACAACTGTACACACATTGGATAAGATTTTGGCTGGTGACCTGTGTTTGCTAAGCAAAATGCGAAATGAAGCAGTCACTGCGAAATATGCCGAAGTTGAAATAGGCTAAACTTGTGTGAATTTGGAGTGCGAAAACTAGCCGTGGCCTCAAAATATTAGCATTCTGGGTCGCTGTTGCCCTGAGTGTGACCTCTCCTCTCCCCCTCCTTCCCTCCTGCCCTGCCCCGCCTGACTTGTGATTTAAACGTTACCCTGATGCAAATTCCATCTTATGAATAGTTTCATTGCGGTACCCGCTGCTATATCAGATTCGAACCTTGCCAGCCGATCCCGGCAAGCTTAGTGGTCGGGTAGTGCAGTGGTAAGACGTCTGCACTAGTTGGCAGGAGGTCGTGGGTTCGAGTCCCACCCAAGTGATTTTTTTCCTCACTTTCGCTTGGGCTGAAACACACTGAGTATACAGTGTTCATACGTCAGTGAAGGGCAAAAACCTATAGTTTGCGATTTGTTGATTTGAAAACCAATGATTGACTGGATTGCAACTCTGCAGGCATTAGACGTTTGACTTTTTTTTGAAGCAGGTATTTTGGAAAGCAAATATTTTCTGTGCTCAACAAATGTTTGTGCTTAGTACACTGTTAATCAATGAGACCCCTGGCCTCTCAACTAGACTGGGGCTTCTTGTAGAGCATATGTTATGGTAGATGAGATCTGCTTACAAGACGTTTTCACACTCTTGCTAAATCCTCTCAACACCAAGTGAATTTTGAAGGATATTAAAAGCACATTTTGTTTGTTGACTCAAGAGGTTAGTGCATTCCCTGATTCACTGCACACTGCACAGTGCATTGCTGTTGACCGAGACAGTATTTTCTATTTGTGTACCACCAGCTACTGGTACATGTACATACTGTACATGTATAGCAGAGAAGAGCATAATCTGAGTGATCTTCTTTTTGAGACCCACCGATGCATGAAGACATGTCTGAAAGACATGCACTGAGTCACCTAAGAAGCTTGGATTATAATGAAGCGGAATAGGTGCTCATTCATGTATACATGTGTGGCCATATGTTTAAATGTCAGCATATGTATTCCTTATATCGGATTAACAAAAATGTAGATTAACGTATAGAATACATTCATACACAAAGTTTGCTTTAAGTGAATAATTGTGAAATACATTGTAATGTACTGGTATACTCTGATTTCATTTTATGTAGGTTTAGCAGTTCAGAATTAAGCTGAAAGATAAAAGGGTGTGGTTTTAGTGTAACTTCAGCTGCTGGCCGTGTTGGCCGGATTCACATTACAACTTGTATTTTTTCAAAGCGCACATTAATTTCACACTTGATTTGATACGTGGTTGGTCCTTTCTACAAACTTTTGCATGCAACTCAACAAGCCTCAAGCCTTTTTTTGTGGGCGTCGTTTTACAGCTTGACCAAGTCCATACCAAACTGCATTGACCTGGTTTGGGGTTCACCATTATCATCGCTGGTATCAACAAGTCAAATCCTGCATATCACCCAGGCCAGGGTTTTATTGCACCGCTATCAATTACTACCATTAAGGTTGAACTGTTGGCATAGATGCTTTGGACACTAACAATCATACATGTGCACAAGTACTGGTACATGTACTGATATACCGGTACATGTATGCAAAGAAGATAGACTTTCCGAAGGGGAAACTACGGTACAGTGTGGACATGAACAGTACCTGTACATGTACAGGTACATGTACAGCGTGCAAACGTGATGTACATGTACACATGTGTCTAGAGCTGGTACACCGTGCCCTCTGGAGACGTGCACACAATAGGGAACAAAAGATTGTATACGTCTCCACAGGGCAATTTCTATAGATTTTTATTTATTTATTTATTTCTGATCTTTTACCAGGGTAGCCCGTTCACAAAATAATGTGGTCTTCCACGGGGCCCTGAGCATATAATTTAAAAATAATTAATAAAAAACAAAAACTAACAATTTAAAGTATTAAAAGTGTATAAAATTATCAAAACAGATAGGAAATAAGATCATATAAAATTACAACCGTTGAATTATAATCATTAAATAAAAGAGACATATGTCTCACAAGGTTTTCACAAAATAGATATATGAATTTTACTCAAAAACTAGAAATTTTTTAAAGGGGTTTATCTGTCGTAAATGGAAGAGTTTTAGAAAAGGGATATTAAGTCAGAATTTTAGCCAAGGAAATTAATTCTGGTTAAAATAAGAGCATTTTGAAACTACACTTTTAAACTCGAAAACTTTACTGCACGAGAACAAAGAAATGTCTCCACAAGCATACAAATTTCAGTATTGGTGTGTTTATTGTGTACATACCGGTATGTACATGTACATGTACATGTACATTGTACATGTACATGTAGTACCGTTAGGTTTGTTTATGGTGTTAGTCGGCGTAAATCGAGGATTTTCTGTTGTTCCTCATCATCGATCTGAACTTTTTTGCAACAGCTCCCATTGGTTTGGTACACGCTTTCTAATTGAGGTCATCCTCGATTTGACTCCTGTCCTCAATTTATACTCGATGATGCTTTGCATGTGTGTCCTCGATTTACATGTGCCCCATAAACATGCGCATGTACCGGTACATGTACATTGTATTTAACTGTATGAGTAAAATGGATCGTAGGCAGACACTTGCGCATTTGTATTGCCATTTTGGCAAAAGCGAAAGCGGTCGATAAAATTCATTTCCAATCTGGGTCAGCTACCGTTATCAATAGAGCCGGTTGTGGAAGGATCGAATGTATGTACTTTTTTATCTTTTGTAGTAATACACATAAACTGTACACTTTCTATAGGTACCTACCGGTATGTACCGGTATGTGTGAAATAGAATTTACCACAACAATCACATATTGCCATTGACTGTTGGCTAGCATGGCTAGAGCTGTACAGGCAAACATGTCAATGCATTTGTACAAATAAACGCCAGATATTTTTTGGGGGACAAATCTGTGTCCAGCGTGATGCTTAATGTCAGCTCATATTTCCTGGCATTTCCTTTGTCCAACCCTACCAATCCAACCCAGGATTTCATGTGACCTACATGTACAAATAAAAAAGTATTGACAGCTTCCTGTCTGCTTAGCACAGAGCAAATTGTGGCATCTGAGTGAAAGGAAATATACATACATGTACTCTGTAAAAAATATTACACATACATGTAAGGTGAAACAGAGCAATTTATGGACGTCGGGAAATTGTAAGGTCAGGGAACCAGTCTAGCTGGCTTGTACCCGTTCATGGTGTGTAATCGATTGCATAAAATTTATGCAATCGATTACACACCATGAACAAATATTGCCGCCAATTTACATGTACCATATTTAATATGGTACATGTAAATTGGCGGCAATATTTGAACAAAAAAGCAATTTTTTTCCAAAGCTAGTCGGCAGACAAGTGTTGGAAATAAATACAAAAATACCCTTTTCTTGAAATGACAGCAGGATGCTTTAGATGGTCATTCACCAACAGTCCAGTAAGGTATTTCATAATAATTTGGTATATTTATATTTTGATGTTTGCAAATGTTGTATCATATTCCCTTTAAATTAGTGAATTGCGAGTATTTGGTTGAAAATGTTGACAAGTAGACTTTGCATCCAAAACAAAAGTTCAAGCACAAATTAAAGTGCATACATGTGTAAACACATACAATGTACTGTATGCAAAGTCTACAGCTATGACAGTCAACTGGATAGGCCCTACATGTACATGTCTGCTCCAGATCCTAAAATATAAACATTGCAACTTGTTTGGCTTGTGAGTCACAATTGAAAGTATATTTAGCGTCTGTTGAAGTGCATTCTTTATTTGACACCTGTGGATGCCATGTTGATGTCATTGTTGGGGTGTGCCAAGTACTGTACATGTACAATGTACAATGTACATGAACATGTACCTCAGGTTCTTGGAACAGGTTATTAATAAAGATAAAAAATGTCCCCAGAGATAAAAAAGTGAGACTGCCATAGAAATTAAGGATACAATATTGAGCAATAATAATATTAATGTGTTTGGCTCTGTTAGTCTGATTGCAAAGAATAATCTACATGTACGTGTAATTTGTGGGTGATAACAGATAATTCTGAAATAATTTCCTTACCACTACAGAAATATTTGCTCTATCAATAATCAAAGACATAGTAAACATGCATAGTAATTACCGGTAATTAAGATGTTTGGAATTCAATACATTTCCTTGTGGACTAGAAAATATGTTGGCATTAAGATTTTGGAGGTTTGTAGTTAAATCAGTTACATGACAAAAGTGGTGTTCGCAATTGACCTGAGTTTTGTAAAAAGTTACTGTGTTTGTACATGTACATGTAATGAATCGTTAATATATTCTGGTTATTCTACGGCGAGTGTGCAATTGGATTAATTCTGGCCTGCAGAAAGTCATTCGTTGCTTACGACTGACAGTCGACGCTTGACAATTTGGGAAGTTAATTACCAGCTGTCCGCACCGGAGTTAATTTGGTCAAGTTAACAACAGTCTCCGTAAAGTTGACAACAGCCCCCATTAGTTTTTACCAAGAAAACGTCCCATGTGAACATGGTTGAAAATACGGTAGCACCACGTGACAAGAAATCTCCTTTGTGAGTTGGAATTGATTCCAAAAACATTTTAATTGCTCAAACCAGTCCTGTTTTAAAGATTTTTTAGAGCCACTCAACCAGTGTCTTAAATGCTTTCAACTGCCAATTTTTTTCGCCTTAACTTTGATTTAGAATAGAATTCAAAATTCAATCTGTCACAAGATTGACTATAAAAGGACTAGAGGTTTTTACATAGTTTTATACATATTTGTTACATAAATCCAACTTTTACATTTAATACAAACTAAA